CAGTTTACGGGTGCTAGTCCAAGGGTCCTGTTTCTTGTGTGTTTTCAATGAAGACCTGGACGACTGTGCGTCTACCTTGCAGTCATTAGACATACTAGGTCAGCAGGTTTGGAAGCGTCCACAGTTAGTGTGAAGGATGATAATTTTGCGATCGAGTCTTCTTCTTCTTCTTCTTCCCAATTTTGCAGGGTGTTGGACAACGATGTTTTGCGCTGTCTGTTAAATCTACTTCAACGTCTCTTACGGCCGCGTTTTTATCATTCTCCTGTAATAATTTCGCTAACCTTCCTCGAAGATTGATTATGAACTCTGGCATCTGAATAGCATTTGATCACAGGTGCGTCTGAGTGGTTTAAGGACAAAGCAAATTGTCCAATAGTGTTCCTTCGCTGGTGAAGTTTGGTGGCTCTATTATTTCATTGATTCCATAAACCTGTAAGGTCATTATATGTCCTCGATCGTGTCCTGAATTGATGTTGATAGTGACTGCGGTGATCCTAGTGGTGGTGTCAGTCGCTGCTTGGCTGCTTAACAAGAAAGTTTCGGGATTACTTTAAGACTGCAAGCCAGCTGTTTCTTGTTATTATGCGTTCTCCCCCCCTTGCGTTTGTTTCAACCAATCACGTTGCAGTTACCGCCGTCGAAGCCGCCGCCACCCCTTAGTAATTGCCTTATTTATTTTCCGTTAGGAGGAGCCAACCCAATGCCAGTGCTGCAAGTGTGGTTGTCTGGACCCCCCTGTAACTACTGACTTTACAGTTGCATCGTTTCTTTTGCTCCGCACCCCTTGCTCATCAGCTCACTCTTGCTCCCCCCACCCCACCCTTTTGCTTGTAGAAACCCAAGGAGACCTACCTTAACCTCGTACAGGAATACATTCCCCAGACCCTCAGCCGGGTCATCAAACACTACGGCTACCTGCGGCAGTTAATTCCGCTCTTCTACGTAAAAGTGAGTTCACTACCTTGTTGCTGACAAACTCAGTCCTCAAATATATATGATAATAAATTGTATATTTGAGACCTAAGAGGACCCATCAGTACTGTGATAAAAATAAATAAAAAGTTGGTAATCACAGCTGCGCGTAAGCAACTGTATAACAATATCAATGAGTAATCTGTCAGATCCGATTTACAACGGACCGTCATTTAACATAATAGTGTGTGGAAGTTTTTGCACCGTTAGAATAATAGTGAGAAATATTAAGTAAATATGGTAACTCATAAAGGGGCAGGGAAAAAAGCTCCTATAAAGAAAATTGATGGCAGAGTTCAGCGAGCCACCAATTTAAAAAAAATATATAGGAGAAAAAACTGCCTAAATGGATAGTTAAATTGATATGGTATGATATTATGCAGTAAAATGGGATCGGGATGTTGAGGGTGCGGAACGTAGTAGAGTAAGTAGATATATCATGAGGTTTCTTGGAAATTTTGAATGCAGGCAGGTCCCCAACAACCGCTCGGATTCTTTGTTCGAGGTTGTCTCCTCTAGCACTTTGGTTCAAGAACTTAACCACAAGGCAGTGATGGTGGTGGCAAGCAAACCTATTTAATGGCGGTTCATGCTTGCCATGTCACAGTGCCGTCATTGCGACTTGTGGCATTTTATAAGGCAGACCAGAAGAAGGCATCTCTGGGAATTAATGGCCATAATCTTGAAGAAGTAGACAGTTTTAAATACCTCGGGGCGAGGCTGCTACTGAATGTGCAGAGTAAAGACGACACTG